AATTAAAATGAGAATATCCCATCAGATCCACCTATAAAACATGTTCCCGGGCTTTGACTTTCCTCCCGTTTCTGTCTGAAACATGAGGAAGTGATGGCTGATGCTGATTGGACGGTGGAAATGTTGCCTTATGCCCATATATGGCAGTCACAATATGTTAGTTACCTCTTAGATTCACGACCTCATTCAGTCAAACCGGCTGAATGTCAGCTCTCAGATATCTGCTCTGCAAATAAAATCAAACAATAAGCAACCCAAACACTAATAAAAGCTCCAAAGACCTTTAATTGTATCTCTGTTTATTGGTATAAGACGTTAACCCTGTAATGTCAAATGTATCATATATATATATCATATACAGTTTCTTAAATGTTTTGCGTCTGACACCTTTTGCATAATTTAATGGTAAAAACTTTGCTCAAAATCCTATTGTACACAATCAGATACACCTGATAACAGGGGGCAGAAGACTACACAAAAAATAATCTGGACTAATCACATAGTAATAAATTATTCATATTAAAAATGTATTTCTGTTTTTTCTTTTAACATATTTTGTTAAAAGGCCAAATAAGGAATTCAAACCAAAAAAAAGTGATTTTCTGTTTTGTTTCATTCTTGGATCAGGCTTTAAAGGGTTAAAGAAGGTCTGTGGATCTCAGTGACACAAAAAGGTGGAACTTTTCTGCTTTTTTTAAAGCAAAAATCGGTCAAATATGTGAATTAAAATGTCCTAATAATGATATTCTGAGTCAGAATCTCCTCCCAGAGCACAAAGTCTTAATTATCTACGTCGCCCGCATAATTCCACGAATCAAACAAAAATAATTTCCAAATAAGCCACCAGGACGACTTTGATCTGACATCATGCCATGTACACACACGTGCACACACACGTGCACGTGCGCGCGCAGAGACACGCAAGATTAGAGGAAGTCGTTTAGATCTGTTCCACAAAATCCCAGAAAGCCTGGAGCTTTATCAAGATGAAGGGTTAGGGAAACTAATCAAGTTGAATAAAGAGGAAAATATAGGAATCTGACACAGTAACACACTTTGACAGACCCCCCCCACCCCCTTTGACCCCCCCCTTCCAGAGGCTTTTGACCTTTGACCTGCGGTTGTACAGTCAGAGAGAATAAGCCCCGACAGCAAATATCACCATGTTTAACCGTCCATTTAACCCTTTAAAGCCTGATCCAAGAATAAAAC